CATTAAGGATCTATTGTTAGCCTGAAACACCAACAGACCCAAGATAAACAGGGGAACTCCTCTGTGTGCCAACAACCCTGCATTATTGGCCAAATTATTTAGCCACAAAGCAACATTTTTTTTTATTCCAATTTGGATTTAAATAAGCAAACACTACAGACCAAAGGATCTTTCAGAAATACTCACCTCAACAAAGCGACTGGCACAATTGGCCCTGATGAGCTTTGCATGGAAGAGCTTGCCATCAAAATACAACCATGGGCAGCACATGAGCCAGGGAACAGGTGCCCCACATGCATCGTTGGCGAAGAGAGCTGTCTCAACCCCTAGCATGAAAAGTGCAGCTAACTGAGCACCTCTGCAGTAACTAGGGGAAGCTGGGAAAGAGGAGAGGAGAAGAGGTGGGAGGGAGAGGAGGGAGATGGCCAGACCCGAAGACCCGGGAAGTGGCCCGCCAGAAGGGGGAGGGGGCAAAGAGAGAGAGGGAGCAGCGAGAGGTGGATGAGAGAGGAAGGAGACGGGAGAGTGGGGAGAGGGAGAGGGAGCAGGACGAGGAGAGGGGGGTTGGGAGGGGGAGCGGGACCAGAGAGAGAGGAGAGGGAGAGGCCAGGGGGCAGGAGAGAGAGAGAGGAGAAGAGAGAGAGAGAGAGGCAGAGAGAGAGAGAGAAGAGACGACGAGAGAGAGAGAGGAGAAAGAGAGAGAGAGAGAGAGAGAGAGAGGGATGAGAGAGGATAGAGAGGGAGAGAGGGAGGAGAGAGGAGTGAGAGGGAGAGAGAGAAGAGAGAGAGAGCAGAGGAGAGAGAGAGAGAGAGAGAGAGACAGAAGAGAGAGGAGAGAGAAGAGAGAGATGAGAGAAGAGAGAGAGAAGGAGAAGAGAGCGGAGGGAGGGAGGGAGGGAGGGAAGGGAAGGGAGAGGGAGAGGGAGGTGAGAGGGAGAGGGAGAGGGAGAGGGAGATGGGAAGGGGAAGGGAAAGGCGGAAGGGCGAGAGGGAGAGAGGGAGGAGGAGAGAGGGGAGAGGGAGGAGGAGAGAGAGGAGAGGGAGAAGGAGAGGAGAGGGAGAAGGAGAGAGGGAGAGGGAGAGGAGAAGGAGAAGGAGAGGGAAGGGGAGGAGAGGAAGGGAGAGGGAAAAGGAGAGGGAGAGCAGAGAGGGAGGAGGAGGAGGAGGAGGAGGAAGGAGGAGGAGGAGGAGGAGAGAGAGAGAGAGAGAGAGAGAGAGAGAGACAGAGAGAAGAGGAGAGAGAGAGAGAGAGAGAGAGAGAGAGAGAGAGAGAGAGAGAGAGAAAACAGAGGGAGAGAAATAACAGATATATTAGCATAAAAAATCAAATTAAACTTAAAAAATATACTATCAGTACCACACTCTGAAGAGTCTTATGGTCCTCATGTATGGTCCTCAAAGCATACAATAAACAATACAAGTGCAAGGTAATGTATTTACCTGCAAATCTTGCAAATAATGCGCATTTGTGAGATCTGGGGAGAAAGCTGTGACCAGGAAAGCGTCAAGCTCTTGTTTCCTCAGGACTGGACCCGTTGGATTGCTCATTATATACCTGGGATAACATTCAATTCATTATCATACTACACCTCTTCCTCTTTCCCTTTTTTATGGACTGAATAATAATTTACTACATCATTTTTGCTTTTTTATCTGATATCCTACTATCCCTCTCTTGTTACTAGATCTTTCTTCACTTGAGGCAAATCTTATTTCTTAAAATATGTAACATCAACAACACCAAATATTTGAGTATTTGATACCTTAAACAAATAATGTGCTTAAAATTCCTATCTAGAAAAAAGAAAAAAACATTACCTTTCATCTAATATTTATAGAAAAATTCAAGAGCCTTATTTCTCTCCCTGTCTCTCTCATTCTCATTCACATTCTCACACTTACACACACACTCACTCACACATTCATACTCACTCACTCACTCACTCACTCAGACATTCACTCACTCACTCACTCACACATTCACACTCACTCACACATTCACTCACTCCCACATTCACACTCACTCACACATTCACACTCACTCACACATTCACACTCACTCACACATTCACACTCACTCACACATTCACACTCATTCTTTTCCAACCTTAGAACTGTGGCCATTATTAGCAGATGCTGTGGAACATGGGACGTGTGTAGCATGAGAGGTGAATCGGATCGCATACAGCTTAGAAACGCTCTGAGGCGGCGTTTCTTGTCATCCACAACCGATCTGGAGGAAATGAAACTTATGATACGGTCTTCTAACATCAAGGACAATATTAGTAACAGTAACCTAAGAATAAGATAATCATAAAGAAAACTTTCAATAGCAATATAATAATGAAGCAGTTAAAAATCATGCACAAAGGACTCAAGATAAAAACACTGATGATAGCATATGTGAGTGTGGGCACATGCGGGTGTCACCATGTGCGGGAGTGAGCACAAGTAAGAGTGGGTCTGAGTGGGTGTGGGGTGCTCGTGAGTGTGTATGGATGTAATCAAAGGGGTATAGGTTGGGGGTGTAAGTGTGGTATGTAGTTGTGGGTGGGTGAAGGTTGGGTGAAGGTGTGGGTGGGTGAAGGTGTGGGTGGGTGAAGGTGTGGTGTGGGTGAACGTGTGGTGGCGTTGCAGGTGTGGGTGGGTGAATGTGGGTAGGTGTGGGTGTAGGTGTGGGTGTGGTGAACTGGGTGGGTAGGTGGGTGTGGTATGGTAGGTGTGTAGGTGCTTGGGTGTGGGTGGGATGTGAAGGTGTTGGGGTGCGGTGAAGGTGTGGTGGAGGGTGAAGGTGGTGGGTGAAGGTGTGGAGGTGAAGGTGTGGATGGCAGTGATGGGTGATGGGTGGATGTGTGAGGTGAAGGTTGGATGGGTGAAAGTGTGGATGGGTGAAGGTGTTGGGGTGAAGTGTGGGGGGTGAAGGTGTGGATGGGTGAAGGAGTGGATGGAAGGTGTGGATGGGGTGAGGTGTGATGGGTAAGGTGTGATGGTGTGGTGTGGTGGGGGTGGAAGTTGTGGATGGCCCTGTCAAGGTGTGGAAAGGTGTGGATGCAGGTGTGGAATGTGTGAAAGTGGAGGGTGAAGGTGTGGATGGGTGAAGGTGTGGATTGGGTGAATTGGTGTGATGTGATGGGTGGTTGTGTGGGTGAAGGTGTGGGTGTCGCATGTGTGGATGCAGGTTGGGTGGAGTGCAGGTGTGGATGTGAGGTGTGGGTGTGGCTGAGGTGTGTGGTTGAAGGTGTGGAGGTGTGGGTGAAGGTGTGGGTGGGTGAAGTGGTGGGTGAAGGTGTGGTGGTGAAGGTGTGTGGGTGAAATGGTGAGGTGTGGTGGGTGAAGGTGTGGATGTGGATGGCTGAAGGTGTGGATGGGTGAAGGTGTGGATGGTGAAGGTGTGGTGGGTGAAGTGTGAAGTGTGTGAAGGTGTGGGTGGGTGAAGGTGTGGTGGGTGAACGGCCCTGGGGATGGGTGAAAGGTGTGGATGGGTGAAGGTGTGGATGACTATAAGCGCATAATGACTAGTCCACATCAGTAACACGGCACTCCATAGTCGGCCATGTTCTCTTCACATCCCTTCGTGTATTAAACCACTAACCTTTTATTATAAACAACTCCTGCTCATCTCTGCTATATCCTTTCAAGCACTATATGCCCCCTAAATTTTGCGTTTCTTATCCGTTAATAAAACAGGCGACTTTCCATCCTAATGACCTTCAACATTAATCCGAGATGCGAAGCGGCACAGTGTCCAACGCCTCCATACAAAAGGAAACAAACCTCTCCACACTAACTTAAATGGTCATTGCACTGGAAAGAGCTGACCTACTTTTTTATTCCAAGCATCCGCGGTTTATTTATCTTTGCTAAGCCTGGATGAGTGCTGAAACCTTCAACTAGCAGACAGCAATGTATCGAGTTCAGCTCAATTGGCGAACGTTTTAACTTGTATTTGTGTACTTATACTTGAAAAGCACACCATGCACGATTGCATAAACATATTATAGACGCAACATCATATTATCTACGAGATACAAACCTGTAGCATAAAACTGCCCGACATATCCTCCCACTAAGCCTTCCTATGCTCCGCGGCGACTCTACGACATTCGCCTATATACTTCACACCCAGTGATCTAAGGATATAACTGCGAGGCTCTGTTATTACTCTGCGGGATATAATTTCGCTCCGATAAATATGAACCACAAAATCTTCATAAACCATTTCCGAGGGACGAAGTCTGCCCCCTGACCTCCCACCCAAACACTGTATTGTATACGCCCACCTGATTTGCAGTCCATTGGCGCATCATATTTACTTCCTCATCCTTTTAATTTCTGATAAGTTAGCTCTTAACGTCTGGAGCAAGATAATCCAGACTCACCCTCCTTTGCCTGAAGTGCAACAAATTTCCTTTTCTTTTCTCAGGTTTAAGCAACAGAAGACACTTTTTTCATACACAATGCGTTTCGTTTTAATTGTACTTTCCTTAAACATTTATGAAATCATCCTTGCTTTTCAGCACACAATAATCACTTCTCCGAACCTGCGACGAAACTAAACTCACCATGGAAGCTCGGCCTAATCGCAGACGAATACCCACACCATTCAGACAGTCCCTCCATAACATATCGACTCGACCAACGCTCAGTTCATGAATCATTTGTTAGACCACTATACTAAGTGCATCCCCTCATCATGCAGATCAAGTACATATATCCATCTGTTCATTCTTGTCGATCCATGTTTCGCTGCCTAAAAGACACACGTAATTTAAGCATATTGTCTGCGAACTATCATAGACTTTCACAGACTACCCTCTCGTTCACTTTCAAAATCCAATCATTTGACCAATAACATTCGACTAGTGGACCTTCAAAAACTCCCTGCACACATTCAATTCAGTGTACCTGCTCTTAGAGCCATAGACTTTCGTTTACACCTTGATGCACCGAGGTTGTGATATAACTGAATATCATCTGAAAAAAATAGGTAACAAGTTTCTTCAAGCTTACAAAGGTGCATTCATCTACGAAAGGGAAACTATTTCTCAACGATATCTCTAATCTTTGCATAAGAAACAAACCCCAAACACTCTCATCATGCCAGATCGTGACTACCAATATCCGGACATTTAACGACTTCTGAATGTCAGTGGATCACTTAATAACGGGAAGGTGTGGATGGGTAGAAAAGGTGTGGGTTGAAGCAATATTGCTTGTGGCGTTTTGTTCTTTTTTATTGAGGAATATACGGCATTGACTTATAAAAATAAAAATCAAGGTCGTGGGTGGCTCGTGAAGCGTGTGGGTGCGTGAAGGTCTAAGTCTAACTAAACATTCTAAATAGGCTTACCTTGTCCCTACTCTGTGGATGGGTGAGTCTGTGGCCATGGGTAAGGTGTGAGATGGGTGAAGGTCGTGATGGTGTGGAAACGTGTGGTGGTAGAACAGGGTGGGATGGTCGAGGTATGTGGCGTGGGTGAAGGTGTGGATGGGTGAAGGTGTGGATGGGGTGAAGTGTGGTATGGTGGTGAAGGTGTGGGTGCGGTGAAGGTGGATGGGTTGCGGTGAAGGTCTGTGGGGAGTCGGGTGGTGAAGGTGTGTGGGTGAGGTGAAGTGTGTGCGATGGGTGGGTGTGGTGTGCTGGGTGAAGGTGTGGTGGGTGAATGGGTGGTGAAGGTGTGGTGTGAAGTGTGGATGGGTGAAGGTGTGGGGATGTAAGTGTGGGGAGGTGAAGTGTGGGTGGGTGAAGGTGTGGGTGCGGGTGAAGGTGTGGATGGGTGAAGGTGTGGATGGGTGAAGGTGGGATGGGTGAAGGTGTGGGGGTGAAGGTGTGGAATGGGTGAAGGTGTGGATGGGTGAAGTGTGGATGGGTGTGTGGATGGGTGAAGGTGTGGATGGGTGAAGGTGTGATGAGTTGGGTGTGATGGGTGAAGGTGTGGGTGGGTGAAGGTGTGGTGGCATGTAGAGTGGGCTGGTGCATGTGTTTTGGGTTGTGCATGTGGTGTGGGACGGTGCATGTAGTATGAGTGTGGGGAATAGGTGTAGCTGTGTGTTAATGTAAGTGCAGGTGAGTGGAGGAATGTAGGTGTGAATGTGTGGAAACATCAGTTTGGGTGTGGGTGTGAGTATAAGTGAGTGTAAATGGGTGTAAGTGGGTGTGGGTCTGAACCTTTACCTGTACCTGAAGTATTTATTTAAATAATGGTAATTCTTCAATTAGGACAGAAGTACATTTGGACTAATACCAAGAGAATGAACAGAATGTTTGTGTTAGGCACAAGCCTATGACATGGGATCTAGATTTCTTCACCACAACCACCACCAGTGGCCACAGCAAGAGCTATGAGGTATTATTTTTAGGAAAACAGAGACAAAAATTTCACTGATTCACATTCCAAGCTTTGAAATCATCATTATTATTGTGAAAGCAGGATGCCAGGAATGTTGTAGTCTGCTCCAAGAGGTGAATTGTCACACTGCAGCTGTATTTAAATACTTTAGTTACAGTAAGAGAATATACATATGTAAATACAAGTACTGGTACACCAGCATTTCAGTATTTTGGACCTGTACCTCATTAAGTATACCGGTACACAACTCTTATATGATTGGGTGTGTGAAGGCTGGTGGGCGTAGGGGACGTGGATGGGTGGTTGCAGGTGGGTATGGAGGAGTGAATGGGTGGGTTGGTGGATGTGTGTAGGGGATGGTTTAGGTTTATGTGTGGGTGTAAGTGTAGAAGTATGGGAGGGAGTAGGGTATGGCTTTAGGTGTGTGGGAGGGTCTTGGTGAAGGTGGGAATGTTGGTGCAAGTATAAAAAGAATAGGTTGCACCACTTCCATTTAGCCTACTGAACCCAAAAATGAAATGACTTTACTCTAGAGTATTCTGATGGCTTTGTTACATGTTATCTTTTCATAAGCATCTATTTTAAGCTACATGGCTAATCATTACAGTTTCATTGGACAGTCCCCTTAAACAATGAACACTCATAACCTCAGAATTTTACACACAATACCCCAGAGTGCAAAATTCTACATCCCTTGAAATCTACACCAGTTTCACGAAAAATTCCATTGCAAAAGTTCCTAGGGAAATTTCATCCTTACCCAAACCACAACCTCTGGACGGTCGGCACGGCCCAATTGATGGGTGTTGCTTCTACAATGTCAGCAGTGCGGTATGGGTTATTTTTGGTATACACCCACTCGCGAACCTTGATTTCAGGTACCTCAGTGGCTAGGCCCTCTGGAAACATTGGAAAAGTAATGGGTAAGTACTAATCAATGAACATAAACAAACAAACAAATAAAGAAAAACAAAAACAAAATAGACAAAAAAAACATGAATCAAATACTAATAATCTCTTTCTACAAAGATTGTTTTTGCTTTGTTTTTTTTAGGTTGTTAGTAAAATTATCTTTGGTTCAATACATGGTTTTTATTCAAACAAAAATCTCCTATCATCTTTTCCAGTACTCACTAAGTGATGACCTTCACAATATATCTCTTTACTCCAATCATTTTTTAACAATACATGTCATTATGCATTTATGAACTAAATAAATAATTCAATTAATATCAATAAAGTTCAGTAAAAAAAATATAAATATATATGTATAACTTATGTAATTTAATCAAATGAATCATACAAATTTCTCAATGTAAGCCCTAGGATATCATAATGATAATATTCTTAATAATGATAATTATAATACTAATCACATAAAAACAGTAATATGATGTAAAAAACAACAATACAAAAATGATGAACAATGAGAACAAAAGTTCACTATTCACAGATGACTAATAAATAAATCAATAACTAAATAAAAAAAAATACATTTTCTTGAACACAGATCTGAGACCATGCTTAGGGTTCTATTCTTATGTTCAGGGGGATTAACAATGAGGGGATTTATCATAGTCTAGTAGGTTAATAATGTCTTATAGTTCTAGATTAACTTAATCATTAAATATTGTCAATAGTATTCCCTTTATCTTGCAACCCAATTTTTGGGGGTGGTGCCCCCCCACCACCAAAAAAAAAAAGTTTTTTGACATACCTCTCCCTGGGACCAATATTGTTTTTGCACTAGACAGATAAAGCTGTCATTTTTTCTAATCTATAATATATCCCTAAGATATTATCCTTATTATCCCAAGGGATTTTTAAAAAAATTGTGTTATATTTAAGAAAAGGAAAATTAATCTGTTTATAATATTTGTTAAAAGTAAACAAAAACAAAACTTAAAATAACTCCTCTATGTTCAATTATTGTTTTACTTGGTGGATGTCTGCTATGGTTATTCAGTTAAAAAAAAAAAAAAAAAAAATATATTCTGAAAAAATACAGATTATTTGGAACAATACCTTTCAATTTACTTTGAAGATTAATTTTCATACCTTTATTATACAGAATTATATAATTTCAAATTATTTTATCATTCTAATGCCATTTATTTCTCAAGATATGACCACTCATTTGCAAGTTATAAAAACAACAAAAATATGCACTGTCCTTAAAATAGAAAATTCCCAGCTTAGTAAACAACAGATAAGGCAAAAGACTTATTATCATGTCATTAGAAGATTGCTTGTTCTAGAATATCTTAATACATATATTTGTGCATTCGCCTGTACATGTATATAAGGGTATGTATAATACATCCATGTATACCAACATATGTACATGTGTGTAGACAGAAGCAAGTGAGTGTATACAGATTTTGATACGTGTGTGTATGCATGACTTAACCCATTGGATCCAGGTAGCGAGGATGTCTCATCATTAAGAACTTTGCCTAAATAGTGGGGAATGGGATGTCTTGCTGTTAGTGCACAAATTTCTTTGAGGGAGATTTGACTTTGTGGGCATATAGGTAGGGGCTCTTGCATTATTTCCACCAGTAAAAATTGGAATGTACTATCTGTGAACCATGCCTGGAATAGCTCAAGCTCCAGAGAGGACACCATATTCAAGTACAGGATCCTACAACTGCCTGCCATGACCAACATTGTAAGGTGGTTACAAAAATTGAATATGAAAATTCTAAAATATAAAACAACATAATATTACTTATCATTATTGTTACAGCACAGAAAAGCAGACTAACTGGAGAGAGAAATATAGAGTATGAAGTACTGCTTCTCACTCAGAAGAGATTTTGGATCACTTGTGGGTTGCAAAGCACCTAGATTCAACAGGCTAATGTGGGGAAAAGTTGTTTAGTCTATTGTTTCCTTTTGTGCATACATGTGTGAGGTGACTATACATGTGTGCATATATATAAATGAATGTACATGGATCTGTGTGTTTTCATGTGCATGAATTAAGAGTCATATTTGATTGTTATCCTTTGGATTTCTTGCATTAATTCATCTGGATATGGAGGGTATCATCAGACATCCCTCGACATCTCGTCTAGGTTTGAGGAATTAGAATGCACCAGTATTATGTGTTGCTAGTCTAAATATTCAACTAACCACTCATTTCCTTAGAGGTACACTCTTCTTTACTGCAAGGAGCTGCATCATATCATCTATCTTTAGAGACAGTTACTGCCAATGCATTTTATTACTAACTTAAAATCCTAAATCCAATCCTACTGAGAAAATATAGAGTTCATTGTAGTACTGTTTTGTGAAATGTCTCTGCACATGGCTCCACAAGTGCTTAGCCATCAAGGAGTCAATTGGCAGACCTCATGATCTTTATCTTTCCTCAAGTTTTTGAGAAAATGTTTTTTCACCAATGCTATCAATACGAATCCAGTTATCATCATTACAGGCATGATAATGACATTACTACTAATAATACAAAACCAAAGAAAATATTTTCTAAAATAAAGGAAAAAGCTTAACAGGTACTAACAACTTCCAGATTATTTGTTGAACCATGTAAGTGTAAAGACAATTAATAAACTAAACTCACAAAGGTTAAGGTAATCACTAAACGTGTGAATTAGAGTTGCATTAGATTTGTTATGCTGCAGTAGATAAATATATATTTTTAGCGTGTTGCCAGACTGCAAAGGCTGATAATCACTGCTATTAGTACTATTAATAAAAATGTAATAATTATACGGTCAATAATAGTAATAACATTATCAATAACAATAAAAAACCATTAGAAATCAAGACTATATTCCTGAAAATTTGAGAAATTATGCAAATGTTAAGGACTGGTAGGCTAGTTATTGACTCCTTAGTGCATCACTGTCTATGAAGCCAGCTTTACATAAACAAAATTGATAAAAGAAACTACAGCAAACAAGGCATGTGCTCATCTTCATTGCAAGATAAAGAGTAATTCTGCAAAACATTTTTTGATTTTCTTTTGAAGATTTCATTATCAATCATTATGACATGTGCCAACTTTTTATCTTTTTTCATACAATGAAGGAAATCATAATATTATTACATAAAATTATCATCAAAGCTGAGATACTGGTGATACATAAATGAAATCAATATTATAGCTAAAACACTAGTCATACATAAATGAGATTATCTATATAGCTAAAACATTGGTCATACATATCAAGTCATTCTTTTTTGTGCATATAAATATAATATCATACACATTAGCCTTTGTTTGCTTACATCTTCCCTTTTGATTATTTAGATTTGAGAAAATCCAATATCTCCACATTCTCTGGTCCTTTTACTAATAAATTTTGTCATAACTAAATGTTTCCCCTTTACAAATGTGGAGAAAATTGTAAAACATCATTTGACAACAGGTGGCTTAAGGGGACCGTCCCAGATGGGGACACTAACACTTGGATAGGTGATTTTCAATATATACATGTTTTCAAAACCAGTCTTGAATCAATTTTGACACTCCCAATCAAGTATCCCCCACACAAGTTCTTAAGACAACAATAATGGTGATAATCATCATAACAGTAGCAGCAGTAGTGGTATTAATAGTAACAACTGTAATAATAATTAAACGATAAAAAGAAATGATGACTGATGATGATGACTGATGATGATGATTAATGATGATAATGATAATAATAATGATGATGATGATGATTGATATAATGATGACATTCACAATAAAAATAATATTTATAATACTCGAAATAATGATAGCAGTAGTAATAGTAATAGTAATAGTAGTAATAATAATAATGGTAATGATAATAATAATAATAATAATAACAATAATAATAATAATAATAATAATAATAATAATAATAATAATAATAATAATAATAATAATAATAATAACAACAACAATAACAGTGATAATGACAATAAATAATAAATATATAATAATAATAATAATAATAATAATATAATAATAATAACAATAATAATAATAATAATAATAATAATAATATTGAAGATCATAATACTAATGATCATATCACTGATGAAGATGATGAGGATCAATAACAAAAATGACTAATGATACTCATAAGAAAAAATAGCAATTAATAATAATGGAAGTGATAAATAATTAGTAACCTATTACTGATGATGATGGCGATGACGTTGCTGATAACAATAACATTAACAATAATAACAATAACAATAATAATAAGAATAGCAATAATAATAATGAAAAAATAATAATAACAATAACAATAATGACAATAATCAATAATAACAATAACATAATTAATAGTAATAATAATAATAATAATAATAATAATAATAATAAAATCAAAAATAATAATAATAATATATAATAATAATAATAATAATAATAGAAGAAAATAGATCAAGTGTGAATACCATTAAAGTTACTTTCAATTCAAAGATTCTACATTAGGGACTAAATATTCTGGATACTGACTGGAGGTTACAAAATTGAAATTACATGAACTTACTTTCTTAAATCATCAGTTTAGTTTGCTTGTTTATCTATTCAATTCCTTTAATCAATTAAATGCCACTCCCACCTTTCATGCAAAGGGAATGCAGATTATATAGACCTTTTTTAACCTTATGCAAAAGACGTTAGTAATTATTTAGATTAAATGTATTACAAAGATATCTATATATAAAAAATAATAATAATAACCACACGACTGAAGCTATGCACTATCATTTTGTTCATTGTCTTGATAAAAGTCATAAAGGTTATTAACGCATTTCAATTTTCTGTGAGAAAAGAAGACATTGCACTCATTTCACATTTTATTCTAAGAAAAAAATACAGGCATATAGAAGTGACAAAAAATAAAGGAAATGACTTAGAGGAATGAAAGGAAAAGTAAGAACCCTAAAGAAGGTTCGTAGTCTGATAACATAATTCCAGATTTAGAAAAAAAAAAAAATGAATTACTTCAAAGTCACTCCATTACAATAGTGAATTATAAAATATTGCCTTAAATGATCATAAGCCACTTTCTTAATGATAAAATGTTAATTTGTTAGGCTAGTTTACATCATTAAGATCCAGTTCAAGACTGCTGAAACGTAAAATAAAATAAAATCACAGCCAACATCAACTTTCTGTTTCATGTACCATCAATGAATAGAAGTTATAAATTGTTAATAATTTCATTTATTTCACTAACCTGACAGACTGACCATTAACAATATTCTAAATAGATTATTTTTAGTATGAGTCAATTGTCACAAGTAAATATGAACAAAATAGGCACATGATCTGTCAACTGTTATAAGCCTTTTGCTTTATCTGAGGATGAATACTAAAACTCAAAATACCTAGTTCTATCATATTTTGAGGCAACTATTCATGCTAATCTATGATATAAAAGGATCATAAAACAAAAGTGTGAACGTACTCATGGATTATCCTGATGCCTAGTATAATTTTCCTTAGTATTCACATTTAAATAATGTAACTATGATGCAAAACACACTACAGAACAGGATTATAAACTTAAGTGATATTAGATATGTGGTATGAATGATATATTTCAAAAGTGACAATGGGTTTAGAAAAACTTCTAGCATACCTTTTACTTATATACTTAAGAAACAATTACTTATATACTTAAAAAAATAAAATAAGTTTCTTTTTGCAGTTGGATTTGATGTTATTCTTGCTTTGAGGGCTATTTCTTATAGTTCATTTAGAAAATCTGAAATTATTTATGACTTTTGTATCCTCAAATTTGCTTGAAAAAATTATGACTTTTCTCTTTGTGGCAATCAATGCATCAAATGGATTTTCTAATGGTGTATCCAACTGTGAAATATCAAATCCATACCCGTATTTTCATAGAACACAACAAAAGCAGAAATGGCATAAGGCCCTTGAAAATCTTTCCTCTACTTTCCTTGTACCACATATTTTCTTCCACAAGTGTGTTGTTTTTAGCATGGAAGACAGAATGCAGGTGTTGTCATTGCCAACAAGGAAAGGAGGAAGAAGTTAATGAATATGTCAAAGAATGAGTAAGGGAAGCATGAAGAGTGAGTGTATATGTGCATAAGAGCATGAATGTGAATGCCTAGTTAGTGCATGAGAAAGAGAGAAAGGGAGAAAGTGAGAGAGAGAGAGAGAGAGAGAGAGAGAGAGAGAGAGAGAGAGAGAGAGAGAGAGAGAGAGAGAGAGAGAGAGAGAGAGAGAGAGAGAGAGAGAGAGAGAGAGAGAGAGAGAGAGAGAGAGAGAGAGAGAGAGAGAGAGAGAGAGAGAGAGAGAGAGAGAGAGAGAGGAGAGAGATATGGGGGGTGGGAATAGGGGAACTAGCCAAATGAGGAAAAAAAAGAAAACCAGGCAAAGGAAAAAAAAAAAAAATAAATAACAGAAAAATGAAAAATGAAAAAAAAAAAAAAAAAAAAAAAAAAAAAAAAAATCAAGAATACAGAAAAAAAAAATCCTCTACATATAAAAAATAACAAATACTTAAATAAATAAATAAATAAAATCTACCCTCTAGGACCTTGCAGAGAGAAAAAAGCATTTTCAAGTGCTTACTTTGTCCTTCTTCTTTAGCTTTACGGGCCATAAATGTGTGATGGTGAAGGTTAAACAGGATGGCATAAACAAACTGACGGACAGGCCGGTAGAACAGCACAGCATTAGGCAGCTCGCGGCTATTTTCGTCCTCCATGCACACACCAAACTTCACTTCACCCTGAATGCAAAATAATCATATATTTTTTTCTCCTTTTTTATTTTTTTTATTTATTCACCTTGTCTTGCTATAAAACAATAATCTTCTTGATTATCCTAGGAAACAAGAGCAGGTATATAATGGATTTCTAAGATTTGGGTTTTTAAAATCATCCCCAAAAATGGTTTAAACATAAGCAGCACCACATCCTTCACTTACACATAGACTTAAAATTTAAAAATCAAGATATATTATTGGACCACTTTCCATTAGACATGCATGTTTGTCTTTGAAAAGACTTTTAAAATGTAAAAACTTTAGTTGAACTACCCAAACAAACACTCAATATTACATTTACTCCTAAAAGATTAAAGCCAATGCATGAAAATTAATATCACAATTTAAAAAGAATTTAAAAAGAAAAAGAAAAGAAAAAAAAAAAAGAATCATAATTCACATGGCAATCCTACTCAGCATCTGTTGAACATCATAAAATATCTATTTCAGTCAAGAACTACAATTCCGGTAAATGTACAAATCTAAGAATAATAACCCACAGACCTGTGTGAGGACCTGGTACACCCAAGGGCACATGAGACCCTTCTGGTGGCGTTCGGAGGCCGTTCGCATGACTTCATGGGGGACTGGAGGTAGAGGCAGTGGGTTGGGGTCAATCTGGGGGCCGGGCTCCTGATGACTTTCACTCGGACTACTAGAGTGCTGCACCAGGGAAAAAAACAAGATGGAATTCTGTGAGAATGATTCAAACTTTTCATAATCCAAGTTCCATGTGGATTAAATAATGAATTGATAAATTGACTGTCCATGTATGATTACCATTAACGTGAGTTTTGATTTGATTTGTTTTAAAGGCAAAAAAATAGCAAGAACAGATCTAGAATTTTAACATAAAAAGAAATCAATCACAATTTCTTACTGATTCACAAATA